AGTTATGCAATTTGGGAGTCTTTTAGATAGACCCACTGAAGGGGTACTCCAATTGCCTCACCCTGCGTCCCCGTTCAGCATGGAAGAAGCCAGAGTGGTCTGCGTCCCTACCCCTATTGGCAATTTGGGTAACCCCTTCAGAGGATGGTGTGATAAGAATAGGAGGTAGGAATTGGCTAGACAGTTAGGGTAAAAAGACCCCAAAGAAAAGTAGCCAGTGTCTTGGCTAGAAGTCAAAATGTCCTTGGGATTGTTAACAACATACTCTGTTCCAAAGGTCAAAAATGTTGAAAGTATTTGGGAGCTTGTATCTAATCCTTAAAAGATTTTTGGGTTACCTCTTCAGAGGCAGGAATGTTAGAGAAGCCAAAAGCCCCATAAAAATAAATAAATGAAAGAAGAGAAAAAAAAAAAAGAAAAAGAAAAAAGTGATGGGGAGATATGGGAGGAGTTGGAGGGGAGGGAGTGGGCATGGATTTGATCAAAACACCTTACATGCATGTATGAAATTCTCAATAAAGTTTTTGTAAAAGTTAAAAAAAAAAGATAAATTACTCAATGCTATAAACAAAACAGGCTATTAAAATGAAAGACAAGAGACAATTTAAATAACAAACCTCACCAATAAAGATGTCTAGTAAAAGTCATAAATGGAACAGAATTTGCTAAGTGTAAGAAAAAAACAGGTATTTTAAAAGTGCAAAGATGAGATGAACATACATGGGAAAGCCTCCTTGGAGACCGTATGTAACAAGTGTATGATGATTAAGAAGTTATCCTCAAATACAGGACAAGGGGAAATGGGGGGGTGGGAGGAAGCTCAACACAGACCTATCCATGAGCTTCTTCCTCCTGGCACTCTTGCCCAGGATGCGTTCACTGACCTGGGAGGCTCTGGTCTGTGGTATCTTCTTCCTTCCATGGCCCGGCTCCTCGCTCCAACTTGAGGATCAACTCAGGTTTGAGATCGCACTGATCTATTAATTGGAAATAATGTTTTGGCAACTTTTCGAATAGGACCAGTGAAGAGGGACGGTGTATCAGTTTTTACCTCTGGGCAGTGGTAAGACTGCTGTGAGCATTTACAAGAGCTTTGAGGACACCCACAGATTCAGCCCAAGCAGATCGATCTCCAAGAAATATTACAGACTGTCGAAAATGTAAAATACACAGGACTTGGAGCAATGGAGCTGGAACTGACCTGGAAGCCTCTTCCTTGAAGACAAGCTCTCATAGTTTTGGAGGACACTATGCAAGTAAGGGAGAAGAATCAACCGACGGTCCAACCCCAGCTTTGATGACCAGCACAGCAAACTATATCAGTGTAGTAGTGGCACTTTTATTTTGGGGGTAATCAGCAGCTATCTACTTGGACTTAAAACCCACTCAGTGGGAGGAAACGCGTGTGTAAATGGCCAAATGCACATGGATGCAGAGGCCATCAACCCTAGAGAAAACCTTTTGTCTGTTGCATCTCTAGACAATCATAATTTTTTTAAAAAAATATTTTGGGCTGGAGAGATGCCTCAGCGGTTAAGAACGCCGGTTGTTCTTGCAGAAGACTCGGGTTCGAATCCCAGCACCCACATGGCCGCTAACAACTGTCTGTAACTCTAGTTCCAGGGGCTCCAACAGTCTCTTCTGTCCTCCGTGGGTACTGCATGACACAGGTGCACTTACCTACATGCGGGCAATACATGTATACACATAAAAAAAATAAAAATAAAGTACTGAAAAATTTATTAAGCTTGTGTACATTTCATACAAGTTCTTTTTTAAAATATTTTTATTTATTATTTTTATTTTATGTGTATGAGTGTAAGTGCACCCGTGTCGTGCAATGCCCGTGAGG